AGGTACTCCTATTTTGTACATATTCTTAATTGATGAAATGGAAATAATAAGAAACTCCAATCTATTTCTTTTTTTTTTACAATATTCAAAGAATTTTTTAAATCCAAATATTTCAAAAAATTACAATATGATAATTAATTATAAAGTTTGAAAAATCTTGTCGCGCATTGGCGATGACTGTTGAAATGTTTTAACGAACACTATAATTCTTAAATTAATAATGGAAATAATTAACAATCATATAACATATAATTGATGTATGTTTCCATATGTGTAATCTATTACTCAAAAGCCAAAATCTTTTTAATGTCTCTGTAACAATTTGTGCCATAATATGTATTATATATTACAATTCCTAATATCTATAAGCAGCGATATTACAGCGCAATCTGCAATATTGCAACGTTTCTGCAATGTTATTGCAAGTTTCATATATTAATATATTATACATATTTGTATATATAAATGTTAAAAGTTTAGTAGTGCGCGCGAAGTGCGCGAATATTATATTCTAGTAATAAAAAATTAAAGATATATATATAAGAATAGATCTATTTATGATATAGATCTATTTGGTTTATTAAACCTTTAGAGCTACACGATCACTCATATTAGCACTTACAACAGAGGACGATGATGACGGAATATTCATCTCGGAAAGCTTTAAAAATAGTGTAATTAGGTTATTTTTTTGTGGACACATTTCGTTAGAATTTAAAAATTACTCACTAATTAATGTCACCAATTGAAAAATTGGCAATTGTATCTTACATGATGGAGACAAAATTAAACGACATAGACATTCAATTTTGTCTCCATCAAGATACAATTGCCAATTTTCAATTGCTCTAGCACATATTCATAGGCTGCATCATCATTGTCTGCAATGATATGATTTTTATGTACATTTAGCCAGAATAAAAAATACAAAAATTTGTGTTCATTTCAAATAAAAGAAAAAGAATAAAGATAAAACATATTTCATACTTATGTTTTATCTAGATATATTCACGTATGTGTAATTAAGTCTAATTAAATGAAAAAGGCTCTTGATCGTTGATTCGAAAATATATGGTGAATCGTCTTTCATCTTCTGTATAATAAGAACAATGGTTATGTTCCAGCAGAAAAAAAGCTTTGTAATTGCAATGTAAGATTCTTTGATATGAATTAGTTTTATATTTTATGATATATTAAAAAATCTTATAACAGACGTTGCTTTTTCTATTGAACGCAGCTAGTAAATTATTATATAAGAAAAATGAGTTTTCATTAAAGCAGTTACTTTTGCTGGTACAAATTTATTAGTATGGCCTTTATTCTGTACACATTACCGATGATTGTCTGTATCGTTGCATAGTTTTTTTTATTATCAAAAAAACTGCGCAACATCAACAACACCGACAATCATGCATAGTGTGTACAGAATAAAGGCCCTAAATTCAATTATTTTTTTCGTTTAAGTTAAAAGGTTAAGTTTGCTACGCACGACTCACAAGCACAACGATTATTGCAAATGCATTCAGAATAGAATAAATATTTAATTACATATATATTTTTAAAGTTAATTAACCTTCGCTCTCTTTGGAATCCATCACTGCGATTATTTGTATTTCGCACCAAACCTCATACAATGGCCAATGGCTGCATTCAGCAGAGAAAGCAGCTTTGTAACTGTTGTAAAATTCTTCAATATGATTGGTTCTTGCTTTTGGTTCTTTACAGATCTAAACGTATAAGGGCCATTGTTACCAAGCTCAGTTAATCTAACTAGGCCAGTTAGTCCCTCGGAATTATCCAATCGCATTTGTCATTTTGTTTAAAAACAGATGGCGATTGGTCAATTCCAATGGATTAATCGGCTTAATTAAGTTGAGCTTGGTGACAGTGGTCCTAAATCAATCATAAAGAAAGAAGAATTTTATAATTGCAAAGTTACTTTCGCTGCCGAACGCAGCCAATGCACATGTATGAACGCGTCGTAGGAACGTAGTAATGCCTAGAGAAATGACATCACTGGCAACCGATGTTGGGTAAAAATTAATCGGACATCGATTAATCGTTCAGAGAAAATCGATTGAATAAAAATATTTGCTTCAGTCAAAGAAAACATTGATGTATCAATTAATCGCCTAACATCGCCGATCCCTACACTGCACTGATGAAAAGGCTACCCAAAGTTAAGAATTTTTCAATGGTTCTTATTTTATGAATCGTTTGACTGAAGTAATTGAAAAGGAACATTTTATGCAAATATATTTGTATAAAAAATGCAGGGATAGGAAGTAAAGTAACGCCATAAATTTTATCATTTATAAAAATATTTTATCATTTATAACGACTTCATTGTAACAGTAACGATACTAATTTTGTGCTAAACTTGGAAAAGTCAATTTGAGAGATAACTCTTAACTATTACGTGTTTACTTACTGAAGAAATTATTAGTCCCAAAAAAAATCTACTTAATATGAATGATATCAATAATAGGCGCTAAATCAGAAGACGATAGTGTCTCCGGCCATGTTAAAAAAAAAAGTAAAAGACATAAAAACACTACAAGTCTCTTATCTCGAGTCATCAAAGTCGATTTTTTGAGAATACAGAACTACTAAAATATAAAAAATTTTGAATTGCACATAACATAACCTGAAAGGCAGCATCGCTACGAGTAATTTGAGTAAAAAAAAAATCGATCAAGCCGTTCTGAACATACAAGCGATCGAAGAGTGATAATTTTCATGAAAAATGAAGTAACATCTTCTTCTTCTCCATTTTTTCTGTCCAGTCACATGCACCTCTCTTCTCACTGACACCTCTCCCAACTTCGATCAACTCGAATCCCCCCCCCCTTCTCTTCCACCACCCTTCTCTTTTTCGTCCTATCTCACTCCCTTTTGTCCTCTCTCACCCTCGCCGGCTGAAAGTGTCACTCAGAGTCGTGACCTTGATATTGTGAGTCAAGGTCATTGTCAAATTAATTTTTTTGTATAACATAACGCGTCATGAGTGAGTGATACAATTTTCTGAAGATTGTTCGGTGTGATAATCTTCATAATGTGTCAAGGGAGAATTAAGATCATGGGAGATGAATTGTCCTTCGATGATTACTAAGGGTCACTACCTTGACTATATGTGTCACAATCAGCGTCATCGGAATTAAATTCCCTATTTCATTTTTAATAACTTCTTAACGTAAGAGGTAGGTGATACCTTCCAAAGATTGCAGGAAATGTAGTGGGAACACAAGTATCGTATGCCGCAGGTCTATGTTAATAAATAATAATAATAAAAGTTATTTAATAATAAGATTGAAAAAAAGAATAAAGTTAAGTAAAAGTTACCGAAATATGATGAAAACGCTATCTAAAGTTTGCATATAATTACGTAGGCTGCTAGAAAAGTTTCTGCAAACAATGTGAAAAAAAACATGTAAAATTCGACAAATGGCTTTATTGTTTTTCGAAGTATTCGTCTTTCACATCGATACATTTTTACACTCGAACCAATTTCGAAGCTTTTTTTTCACTCTGAGGCTATAACCTCAGTGAACGAAATGTTTCAACAGCTGCTTCAGGCGACTCAAATCGCTCACCACGCATCTTCTTTTTAATGTTTGGAAACAAAAAGAAGTCATCAGGCGATAAATCAGGTGAATACGGACAATGAGACAATGATCAATTCGACATTTTTACTGGATAAAAAATCAACAGTTTGACGTGCTGTGTGACAGCTGGCATTGTCATGATGAAGGATGATGCGACGATTTCGATTTGTTCTACGCAATTCATTTATGACTTCTGGCAAACAAATTGTTGTATACCAATCAGTATTTACAGTCCTCTAAAGCCACGGTTGCCACATGTCCGGTATAACTGAAAAAACAAGAAATCATTTACTTGGCAGCACTGCGTAAACGAACAACTTTTGTTGATTTCGATTCATTTTGAAATACCTAAACAATAGATTGTTGTTTACTTTCGGGCTCATACGAATAGATCCATGTTTCGTCCTCAGTAAGGATATTGTAACCAAATTTGACCGACCTTGGTTGAATTTCTTGAGCATTTCTTTGCTCCATTTACGAGTCTGTTTTTGAGTTTCGATCAAATTGTGTGGGATCCAATAACTGCAAAATTTTCGCTCAAGTCATCATGCAAAATCGTATGTATTGCTTTCAATGCCTAAGGATGCCTGAATGTCGCGGTATGTCACATGCCGGTCTCGCTCAATCATTTCACGCATAGCATCAACATTAGTAGCAACAACAGACGTGGATGATAGGACGACCTTCACGGAATTCGTCACAAAGAAAGGTACGTCCACGCTAGAATTCAGTAAATCAATTATAAACAGTCCTATCGGATGGTGCTTCATCCCCAAAAGCCAAATGAAGTCGATCGAGGCATTATTTCGGAGTTAGATTACATTTGTAATCGTAAAAAATCATTGCCCGAAAATTTTCACGCGAAATTTCCATTTTCTCAATAACTTCTTTTAAAATACTATGCAAACAAAACAGTTGGCTTAGGTACAAACTGTCAACTGAATTATAGGTTAAAAACGTCTAATTTTATGGGTATGATAGTAGTAGAACGTTGGCGCCATTGGAAGTATTAGATTGCAGAAACTTTTCCAGCAGCCTACGTATAAAGAACTAAGCCAAATAAAAATAACAAATGGCGTTTCGAGCCCGATCAATAGATCGATTTTAAAACTGGTCGATAAAGAGATAAAAAAATATATATACAGACTTCTAGTAGATGTGTAATAGTCATTATCGCAACCTATTGTTATACAGCTAACATTACGTCCCAGTTGCTGTAGCGCGTGTCATTATAAATATATACTTAAAATAAATAATGGGCCCTGCCGTTCTTGTGAGAACCATATTTTCTTCGTCTTTCCGATTTTAACACAACCTTTAATATTTATTTCGATTGCAACAGAATGAATTTTTAATATTGTATGAACATACTTTTTTTTTTGTTTGCGAGGAGGAGAAAAATTTTAACATAGCCCATTATCCGAAACACCTCTGAAGGAGATTCTAACCGGATGAGGGGAATATACCAGGATCCGGTCTCCTGATTGTGCATGATTCGGTGAGTCTGCATCCCTCTTATAAGGAAGGACAGCGGACATCATCGCCTACTTGCTAAAAAACTTCTCCTATTCAGCACCTCCGCATGACCACATTGGGCACACCACATTCGGAACCATTTACCCGGCGGCATTTCATCAGGGTGCATCTAAGTTGTGGAGTATACGTTCCCACCTCCGGGATACTACTTAAAGCTAGAATCCTATTCCATATAATATTAAATATTATCTAAATACGTATATTATATATACATTTTTACACATGGTTGTCGTCAGACCCCAGACAGACCCCGAGCTAAAAGAGCCCTTCGCTTCTTTAGAACCTGACACTCCATCTTACGCATGACGGTCTCGCAGAAATGCGCGTCCAACACGCAGCGGAGCACATAGCCGTCTTGACAATGAAGCCGTATGTGTCAAGGACATCGAGCCCCAACTGCACAAAAAATGACGTCCTCTCTGCGGCCCGGAATGAGCAAAACAACGTGTTCATCGCAGCGTATCCGCAATCGCACGACAATGCGCACAAATCGACGACGCATTACGCTGTATCTCAAAAAGGTAGGCTTCAAATCCATTATTAATCCATTATCTGAATCATGCGGATTGTATGAATATATTAAAAATAAAGAATGGATCCCTTCATCGCCCATTCTCGTGGAACGCAACCACATTTTCTTCGTCTCTTCGATTTTAACACAATTTTTGACATAGAGATTTGACATAGAGGTGGAAGATTTTTTGATTGATTTCTTAAATCATATTCCAATCATATTCCAAGCATTGTTTTGGATTATTTTGAAAGCTTGCTACTATAAAGTGTCCAACACTTTCGCTCCAAGAGAGAAGTGCCTTAAGAGTTGCAGCGCAAAAATAAAAAATGTTTGGAAATAGTAGCGCATAAAGCAAAGAATTATTTTACATAATCAGAATATTTCATTTTGTCATCTGATGATTTAAGGGTGAATATGTTTGTTCGCTCCAAGAGGGAAATGCCTTAAAGGTTGCAAATTATAATCCAGCTATCAAATTAGCTTGGGAGGGAAATATGGACATACAATTTATTGGAAAAAAATCAGAGTTTTTAAACTCGTACTTAACAAAATACACGACAAAGTCGGAGAAATGCAATATAGACTTTGCAATGATAGATTCTAATAAGCCCTTGGCATCGAAACTGTGGAATTTTGTGATGCGTTCATTGAATAATAGAAAATGCGGTACTTTAGAAGCTGCGGACACTCTGCTAGGAAATCCCTTGTATGGTACAGTGATACCATTGTCAAATGGATTGACGTTAATGAGATGAGAAACAGAAAATATTTAATAAAATTAAAGCTCTCGATGAAAATTCTACGAATATTTATTGTCCGTCGCTTATCGATGATTATTATCCAAGCAGACTTAAGGAATTAGATTCATTGAATTTGTACGATTTTGCCAGATTTTGGGAAATTACAAGACAGGTGCCAAAAAATGACGAAGTCGAATATTATTATACAAACTTGTATTGGGTTTATTAAAAAAAAAAATGAAAAAAGTGTTATTTAATTAACCATTCGATTTAATGTAAAAATTGAAAAACTACTTTAACTCGCTGCTTCTTTTGTTTAAACTGTGGAGAGATTTGAGTGAAATCTAAGGTGCATACGAGACTTACACGGATGCTTTTAAGAATTCAGCGTCTGCTTTGACGAAGGCGATGAAATATCACGAAAGGCTCGAAGAAATACAGCTTTTGAGCTCGTTGCTGAATTAATCGAGAAGCACGAAAATGATCTGAAAATAGCAGATAGAGACAAATTCGATGATAGTGAATTGCAATCCGATAGAAACTGACGACGCGATGAAAAATCTGATAGATTTTGATAAGATTAACGCCCCGATTGATTTATCGCAAATGATGTCACGATTAAACGAAGACCAGAAAAGAGTCTTCGATAGAGTATGTCAAGTTTTACAAAATAAAAATCAGATTTTGTGACTATACGTAAGTGGCGAGGGTGGTACAGGAAAAAGTTTTCTTATTGAAATGATTAAACATTGGATCAAAATACATTTAAAAAAAGCGACTGCCATATCTGTGCCCGTGGGTATCGCGGTATTCAATATCAATGGCTTGACGACCCATAAAATGTTTCAGCTACCCGTTACCCAATCTAAAGTAAAATATACACACATGTCAGACATAGTTTTGAAAACTTTAAGAAACAAATTAAAAGCTATCGAATTATTTATAATCGATGAAGTATCCATGATTTCGAATGTGACATTTATGTTTATCAATCCACGATTATGTGAAATCTTTGATACGACAAATACAAATGATGGTTTCTTTGGCAGAAAACATATTCTTTTGTTTGAAGACTTGTTGCAGCTTGCCCCTGTAAAAGAACAATCTTCGTTCGTGAAAATGTTTCGATCAGAAATTCACAAGTATTTAGATATCATGGATGGATCTGATTTGTGGAGATTACGACAAACTCTTGATTAATATGCGACAAAAATGCGACAACACATATCTTGATATACTTTCTAAAATACGAATAGATTTGGTAACGGATTCTAATATCAATGTTCTTCAGTCGAGAAAAATCCATTTTAAAGGAAGTAATTGCGAAAGATTGAATAAACTTTGCACTTATATGAATTAATTACCAGTTGATACAATATGTTTATTACACACGTGTTATTTGTGCAAGGTTTTGAACACGGCAATACTCGATAAAATTGACGGCGATGAAATTCTATTGATAGAAGAAGATGATGTCGACTGTTCAAGCTTCAGCAATGAGAAAAAAAGTGCACAAAATTTTGGAAGACAAAGATGACAAAGTTCCGGAACAACTGACATTGAAAGAGTAATAGCGATTAAAATTGGCGCTAAAGTGATGATTCGACGAAACATTAATGTAACTTTGGACTTGTTAATGGAACGATAAGCAATGTAGTTGCAGTTAATCGCTCTGTTGATGGAAATCGTATTAATTCCATTAAAATAGTTATTTCGGATAACAAAGAAACCACAATAACGAAAATAGATATTATATTAAATTCGAAGTATTTCACAAAATGGTGGTACATCGGAAACAATTTCCATTGTCTCTTAATTATGGAATAACTATGCACAAAAGTCAAGAAATTATGTGTAAAAATGCAATGATGGATCTAGGAACGAGTGTGTTCAAGCTTATGTAGGTTTGTCACGAGTTAGTACACTAGAAAACCTACACATTTGATAAATTTTTATCCGGCAATCCGTTAAAGCAAACTCGGGAGCTATTGTAGAATATAATCAACTGAGATCTGTTTTCAAAGCTCAGCTATCACAAATCCATTCCGAAAAAAAGGCTGTGAAAATTCACACGATGGACTATACCTAATATCATTGATGACAGAATTATGATTGCGAGGAATCAGAAAGTATACATAGAAAATATACGGCCTCTGCAATGACGATCATGTTTCGTGTTATGCTAATGTAATATTGCAATGTGTGTTTCGTTGTGTAAGTATCAGACAACAAATACTGAAAAATAAAGTAAAAAACGCATTGACTGATGCTATCTGCGCGTATCTGAGCATAAATGTTGCAATATTCCAGCGGTTAAAAGATCTGTCGGAGAACGCTTCGAAGAACGAACACAACAAGATGTTTCGGAATTTTTCACGTCTTTAATATCGACGTATTCCAAAATCAATGATGTATTAGAACTCGAATTGAAGCACGTAAGATCTTGTTCAAATGCCAAATGTATTATACAATTATTATAATATAACTACGCTGGAAAAGAGTTGTTTGCTAATATTACCTATACAGTCGACGTTAAAAAGGAAAAAAAATGTCACTCTGCAAACTTTGATTGATTTAGAATTTTAGAAATGGGAACGATAAATGGCAATTGTAAGATAAAATACCGTTCTGAAAAAGAAAACCATAATCGAATGACGTGACTTTATCCGTCTTACGACGAATACTGTCACGATTAATAAAAAAAAAGTGCAAGATAATAAGCGCTATTTTATGAGGTCGGAGAAATGAATCGAAATTACACATATATGTTGAGAGCAGACAAAAAGTGTGGAATGGTTTTACTCTAATGATTTACAAGTTATCAAGAAGAAATGGCCGAAAGGAGCACAAGGGGCATACATGTTGTTCTTTGAGCAGATTAAGTAAGTTTGGAAATAACTTTTACATATAATGACACTTTCTTGGAATAGAACGGAATTCTTCTGATACATTAACTGTTCGGTACCCTTATCGTTTATGGCGTCTAATCATATCGTCTTAAATAAAGTTTGGAAAGCAGGGAAATTCTCATTTTTCTCGACTAAGTGCCCTCGAAACAATCATACCGCGGGAACGCTTGGAACGGTGATCGCATGGTCGTGCCATCACAAATTCATCCTGCACGCAGCAAGATCCAACATTAACCTTAATAAACTATTGAGGTTTATAATTAAATTTTATTTTCAGAATATTGAAACAATCGTCTGCTTTGACGCTGTATAGGGACTGTAAGCTTATTGTCATAAGTGGTATAAATAAATAAAGCATCGGTTGCTCCGGCGCCGTATAAACGCTGTCATAAACGCTGCATTAAAACATCGACTAGTACTGTATAACGGTTGCCGTAAGCGCGGAAATAATACATCGGCTGCTCGGACGTTGTAGCCCGCCGTAAGCGTCATTACGGCGGCCTACAGCGTCAGAGCAGCTGATGTATTAAAACGAATGCAATAAAGTTCTGGCTTGCCTAGGTATCGATATATTACTATGAATAATAAAATCTTCTTACAGTAATCGAAGAACTTCATGATATTTCAGAGTATTATTAAGAAATGAATCTCTATGTTAAAGATCGTATTAAAATCAGAAAGAAAATGTGGTCTCACGAGAATGAGCGATGACCCAGATTTTAATGGGTCATGTGCTTTAAGGCCTATCTTTTTACAACGTAACGCGTCACCGATTTGTGCGTATTGTCGTGCGGATATGGCGATGCACACGCTGTTGTTTTACCCATCTTGAACCACGGAGAAGACATCATTTTTTTGTGCAATTGAGGCTCGATGTCCTTGGCACATACGGCTCCATTGTCAAGACGGCTATGTGCTCCGCTGCGTGTTGGAGTTGCGTCCCTCGCGGATTTCCGTCATGCGCAAGACGGAACGGGCCGAATGGGAGCGACAGGCCCTGAAGAGGCAAAGAGCTCTTTTAGCTCAGAACTGTCTGGGGTCTGACGACAACCAAGTGTAAAAATGTATATATACAATATATATCATTAATAAATCATTTTTAGACGTTTTGGCCACAATCTGGCCATCTTCAGTAAAATCACAAATATTCTTAAAACGCAGACTTACATATACCTGACTGAGATATTCAATTGGTGACATGAAACCACTGACATCTCAGTACATAAAAGGGGTGTAATCATTGGGCAATTAGATAGAATATTGTTTTTATCCCATCCAAAATTTCAGGAAAAAAACATTTCTGTCTTAGTTCACACTCTGTTAATAAATGAGTTATCCTCTTGAATTCATTTTTTCAACAGAATTAAAAATCAGAATTAAAACTTTAGAAAATAGAACGAATTTAGATAACAATAGTGAATGTAATAATAATGAAAGCGATTCTAACTCTAATTTAAAGAAAAAGTTTTTTATAATACCATATTTAGTAAAGTATCGGAAAAATTTTAAAAATTATCACATAGTCAAGGCTTTAATATTGCTTACAAACCTATAAATAAATTGAATAGATTTATTAAAACTGGAAAAGATTGTTTGTGTAAAGAGGACTTGTAGAGTAGTCTATAAAATAAATTGTTTAAATTGTGAGTCTTTTTATGTTGGCCAAATAAAAAGGAAATTAAGAATAAAAGAACATAAGGCTGACATAAGAAGATTCACATTGGAGATGTCAGTGGTTTCACGTCATCAGTTGAATGAGATGCACGAATTGAATTGGGATAATATCAGAATTTTAGACACAGAACAATCATTATTGAAAAGAAGAATTTCTGAAATGATATACGTAAAAAGTCAAATAAGTATCAATAAGCAAAGTGACACTGAAGTTTTGTCCGATGTTTATCTGCCTTTTCTAAAGAAAGATCTCTATCACTTAATAAATAATTCTAGAACAATCTAAACTTTTGACATACTCGTATATATAAATAGAGGTAACATATGTGATATGACAAATAATAATACACAATGACACGACGAATTTCCATCTGCGTAAAGGAAGTGCTTAAAATTCATCATTTTTTTCTGTAAAACAGAAACGATTTAATTCTCATATAATTGACTAGAAGATGTTAATTTTGATAGGTTAATTTTTTAAATTAGAATCTGGAAATTCTTGTTCTACATAATTTGCAATATGACAATTGGCGCTGCAACATTGTTGTATGATGTACCTTCACAAGACGAAAGAACACATTTATAAATACATAGTTACACGACGGCTGAATTTAATGTCAGATGTATGTAATTCTGCGTTTTAAAAATATTTGTGATTTTACTGAAGATAGCCAGATTGTGGCCGAAACGTCTAAAAAATGTTTTATTAATGTAATGATATATTAAATATCACAAACAATATCTTGTGCTGTGGTTTTATGCTCTTCTTTTTGTAAGTTTTGATTTATAAATCACGTTCGTTTTAATTATTATATATAAATAATAATAAATTTTTTATGAAGCATTATTTTCTACTCTGAAAAATGTATGAGTTTTTTAAAAATAATAGACGGTTACTAATATTGAAATATGATTTTACATTATAATTTTTATAGCAATACACCTGTGACAGCACTGGAAGAAGAAACTGCAGAGAAAGATAAAAACACAATTCAACAAGAAGAAACGAACAGGTTTTTTTAACTTTTATGTATCTTTTGATATTCTTTTTTTTTTTAATAATAATGACAGCTTTCATAATCTATATCTGTAATCTATTATAATATATATCATGTTGCCGAATACATATTTTATTTTTTATCAAGAGAGAATATTAAAAATCTCACGTACATTTTAGTAATATCCAATCATTAGAAGCAATGTTGCTTATGCATGAACGTTGAGATTGCTACACCGTAAGTTTTTATTGATAAGTAATCACATAAATGCATTTTGATTACCATTTTGCTATTATTCTCTTAATTCATTTTAACACAAAGTAAAATATAAATGTAAAACTAAAATACTTCCATATTTGTATAACACTATTACATAATATATTTTGATTGATTTATTTAATCTTTTGTAATAAATCCTTAATATATCTTTTTTAATATATGTTTTGATATCTATTTCTTTTATTACATCTTTCTTTTTAATATATGTAATATATTTCTGTAATGTTATATTATTTCTTTGTATATAGGAGCACATCTACCAGCACATATTTCTCAACTAAGGCAGAAACTCCGAAGAAGAAGAAGTTAAAAGAATGAAATTTAAAATTACAAGCAAAAAATAAAATGCTGTGCGAAAGAATTAGACGACCGAAAAAAAATAGAGGATGGAAAACACAATAAAAAATAAGCAAGATTCTAAGGATCAGTTCGTTGACTAGTAAGTTGACAACTAATAACTTGTAAATTACTATCTACAAATGTGCAATTATTATCTGCACAGATTGATACCCAAATTAAAAACAAATATGTATATATTAGGTGTTGGAATTAATTCGTAGCGTTTTTTTAATGAAAGAATGTTATTTATTTCACATGAGCATTAAAAAATACATTAATGAAAGTACTTCCCATCACTTTCTACTACTTTTGACCATCTTTCGGGCAGTGAATGAATACCGCGTCGGAAGAACTGTTCATCTTTAGATGAAATCCAGGAATCGAACCATTTTGTACAATCTTCGTAAGATGTGAACTTCTGCTCGCACAAGCTATGAGCTAATGATCGAAACAAGTGGTAGTCGCTAGGTGCAATATCAGGAGAATACGGCGGGTGCGGTAGCACTTCCCATTTAAGTGTTTCCAGGTATGTTTTTACCGGTTTTGCAACGTGTGGGCGAGCATTGTCGTGCAGCAAGATGACTTTATCGTGTCTTTCGAAGTATTCCGACTGTTTTTGCTTCAATGCACGGCTCAAGCAGTTTTAGCAGTTCGTAGTATATGACACCCTTCTGATCCCACCAAATACAGAGCAGGAGCTTTGAGCCATGGATATTGGGCTTTGCCACTGATGTTGATGGTTCGCCGGGCTTAACCCATGACTTTCTGCGCTTTGGATTGTCATAATGGATCCACTTTTCGTCACCGGTAACAATCCGATGCAAAAAACCTTTTCTTTTCTGCCGTTGAAGCAGCAGTTCGCACGTGAGAAAACGTCTCTCAATATCCCTTGGTTTCAATTCATATGGGACCCAATGTCCTTCCTTCTGGATCATGCCCAAACTTTTAAGACGTTTTCCTATTGTTGAGAAGTCAACTTCCAATGACGTAGATAATTCTTTAAGTGTTTGACATGAGTTTTCATTGAGCAGTGCCTGCAAATCGTTATCTTCAAATTTTTTCGGCTGACCAGGTCGCTCCTTGTCATCCAAGTCGAAATCACCAGCTTTAAAACGTGCAAACCACTTCCTACACGTTTGCTCAGCCAGAGCATGTTCACTATACACATCCACTAAAATACGATGAGCTTCAGCTGCACTTTTGTTCATATTAAAGTAATGAAGCAAAACTCCCCGCAAAAACACTTTATCTGGCACAAATTTTGACATATTCAATGAATTATACAGTATTGTTATTTATGATTTCAAGAAAGGTTATGTACGGCAAATGACGTCCTATGATAGATGTTTACAATGTATACAGAACTATAGGTAACAACGAAATAGTGTACTGCTTGTGCCATCTCTTGTAAAACGCTACGAATTAATTCCAACACCTAATAATATATACTACCAAATTTAAACAATTTGCATTACGATTATATTTTTCAAACCCGCGAAATTATCGACAATTTTAAAAACAATTCATATTACCTTTTGTGCGCGGTCTTTAAACATTTACACAAACATGGCAAATTAAATAATAATAAAATTTTTTATGTTTTAGCAGTAAAATTAAATTCAGTATCGCCATTGTATACTGTATATTGATAGGGAATTAAAAATTTCCAGTTTGCTTTTGTATTCATGGAAACAATATGCAAATTTAATGTATTAAAACCTATTAAATTTGATGTTATTCACAAGTTACAAAAGTATGATGATATTTAAAATTTAGAAAATTCTTACAAATATGAGATAAAAATATGATGTAATATAAGAATATTTTTTACAATGACTAAAAGTTCCATTTATGTTTTATTTAATGTTTTCCTAATTCGAAAATAGATAAATGTTTTATTTATCTTGTTAGTTATAATTGTAGTATGGCTTTAGATTTGTAAGCATATATTTCGTACAATGATTTTCTCTACTCTACATGAAATGCGACTTAAACGGCAGCGTACAATGTAAGATGGCGAGTTAATATACAATTACACTAAGACGCGGCGACTTCGCTGTGGTGAGAGGGCCTCAGCCTTTCGGCATGTGCTATTCGCTCGAGATCACGTTGTCAGGAATCGGCAACTTTACAGAATTTCTACGATTGTCTCATCAGTGATTCCTCCTTCTCGTCCTTCGATAACTCCTCTCGGCTCCTTGCGGTATCCCACTCAGCTCACTTTACTATCGGTAGCTCGTGATAGATCCTGCGTCCTCTTACAATCTGTCCACGGCTCATGCCACAACGCAAGCGATTTCGGCTGGCTCCGGCGGAAGACGCACGGGCCGCGCTGTTTTTCAGAAGCGAGACCTCACGAAGCCTGATTGGCCGACGGTAGCGATGAGTAGTATAATAGTGGTGGTTCTAACTCAGGTCCTCTGAGGGGGGCGCGCAACGCGGGGGATACTCGTAGGCGCGGGGGAGAAGGCGCGGGGGAGAAGGCGCGGAGGAGAAGGTGCAGGGAGTACTAGTAGGCGCGGGAAGTACCAGCGCTATCGATGTTTACTGATATGATGAGTCCCAGCGCTATCGGTGTTTACCGATATGATACCCACACCCTGCCGCAGGCGTCAGCGCTAGCGTCGGCGCCATCGTCGTCACCCCACACCCCGTCACAGACGCCAGCGTAACAACAGCCACCGCAGATTCTGCGTCTATCCCAAAAAACGCGTTTCAGACAGCCATCGCGGAGTCCACTCCCTAAATGCGTGGCAGTATTATAATGAACAAGAAATATTAAAGAAAAAAAAGAAAGAAAAAAATATATAATAAAAAAAAATATTCTTACCTTCTCCACACCCTCTCTCTCTCCGTCCTCCTCCTCCTCCTCATCCTCTTCCTCCTCCTCCTCCTCTTCCTCCTCCTCCTCCTCCTCCTCCTTCTCCTCCTCATCTTCCGCTGAATTCTTATTCCTCTTCCTCCACAGACTCATCGAAATTGTCGATGAAGTGGTTGAAAGCAATTCTATTAATGCTCACATGAGTGGGATCGTCCATCTCATCGGCAATCTCGATGAGGCGATGGAACAGTCTTAATTGATCTACATGTAATTGAGTGAGATCAACTATGATATTACTCTGAATCTCCTCTGAGAAAGAGGAGGAGACGTTCTCCTCTTCAGTTTCTTCTTCTTCCACTTCCTCTTCCACTTCTTCTTCCACTTCCTCTTCCACTTCCTCTTCCACTTCCTTTTCCGTTTCCTTTTCCATTTTCTCTTCCTCCACAGCCTCATCGAGATTGTCAATGAGGTGAATGATCTCAAGCATGTGCGCATTAATAGAATTGCGTTCAAACACCTGGAATAATCCTAATTGATCTACATGTAATTGAGTGAGATCAACTATGATATTACTCTGAATCTCCTCTAAGAAAGGGGAAGAGAAGGAGGAGGCAGTCTCCTCAACTTTTTGTTCTTTTTGCATGTTATAGCTGCACAGTAAAAAAAAAATTATCACTTCACTTAATCACAGAAAATGTGCAATAATATTCTACCATTAACGTTAAATGATAGAATATTGTTGCACGTTGGGGAAAAAAAATATCACTCACGTTTAACACGTCTTGCGCGCGGACAAAGCAGAACAAAGACTGACGTTGAGAATCGATCTTTGCCGTTGAGAAGCGAACCTGCCTAGGATCTATAGGGAGGCAATTGTATATAAAACACTTTAGATCATAAGTGCCGTTACGAAAAGTTATCGCTATAGCACGTTGAGATATAGTATGAATGGATGGATGGATGGATGGACGGATGGAAAGTAAAGAAAATACATACATAATGATATGAACAGAAAAAAATTGTATTTTATTCACATCGTTTTATTACGTCGTTTCTTTTTTGTTATTAAAAAACTAAAACCAATAGCTCGCAATCAACGAGCTGATGTTTTTTAAAGATATCACTATCGCGTATAACGTTTTTGGACGCGATGTTGGAGAATCGCGTATACTTGGCATCAACCATATCGACGAGTCGGGTTAATCGTTTTAACGTTCCATCGACGATACATCCGTCAAACTCAAACATACGTCATAGCGTCGTTTCGGTCATCATCATGCGTACGGACAAAGAATTGAGATGTACGAGCGTAGCATCGTTCAGCATGCAAACGCTGACAATTAGCGATCCAACGCTAATAAAATTGTCCTTGTATTCGTTTCGCAGCATCTTGTAAATATTCCATCGCTGCTCGTAGAGGCCCTTTCACGTTTCGAGAGATAGCAGCAGTTTATGTTCGCGATGATCTCCCAGGGCGATCTCCATGTAACTCGGTGGACCAACCTTGATTCCAATTTCCAAAAATTTGTAGCTCGTAGTCGTCAGATCGTAACGTCTGCCCAATAAACGCACCTTGCGATGCTCCATGCTGTGTACATACATAATGTTAAAAACATTTCTTTTGTGTATAGAATGTTAAAACTTACATATTACTGCACTCCTTCTTCGTTTCGTATGATGCGTTGCTGTTTTCAGCGAAGTACATTTTTTTTTAACCGTTCGTACAAGCGAGTATCGCAAGACTAATTGCACCCGCGTAAATTGCGATGTATATAAAACTTCTGGAATCGAAGAGGGAATAACTCCCCTCTTTTTTTAAGAATTGCGAACATGTCGCAACACGTTTTATCGTGTCTGTCTACATATTTTTTTGTTCGCGAGTTTATCAATGCTTATACTTTATGATTTATATTTCGATGATATCGATGACATTGGTGATGAGTACATTGACGACTTTGACGCCTTTTCTCCAGGACATTCCCAATATCTCGCTTTTTCCTTCGATGGCGGTGGACTTGGCGGACTTGGCGACAACGGACAGTATCCCTTTCGCTCGATTGATTTTCGGCGTATATATTCTTTTACTCGGTCCATGTCTTAACGCTCGTAACTTATGATTGAATGAAAAAAGTCTGATACACTGCCTATATACATTACATATATGTAGATCGGACATGTCGCGACAGAAGCGTTGATGTTTTTGGATACATACATACGTACATTCATACATATATATGTGTTCATACATATACGTTCATACATATACATTCATACATATATGTTCATACATATACGTTCATACATACGAGTACATGTATTACAAAGGAAAGGAAAAAAGAAATACGTAATAAATACGTTAACGTATTTTTATTTAAAAAATTCTTTTGCAACCACCAATTATATATTTTCAATAGATTTTGTAACGCGCAATTCTGAACATGTTGCCCATATCACATAGTATTAGCAACATCCAGCATGGTTAAAGATTCCATGTCTTCGTAAACTATATCCAAGGTCTCGATGAACATGCGTCCTCGCTCATCGTCCAAAAGCAAGTTCCACAACCACGTTTGTTCTTCGCGTCCTTTAACGTACACGATAGCATCATCTTCAAATACTGATCAGACGTTTAGCCTTGTTGTACGGGATTATCCCATCCTCCTATCACAATCCATGGTGAAAAGCAGTCACAACTAGAAAGCGCAAGACCTGTCGGATCTTGTCAAAAATTTCCATGGCACGGAACTCGTAAAAATGTAATGTGTGAGAACGATCGCCTGTTTCAGCATCATCACTTCCTTCACGATAAATTTCTTGTTATCGATGAATCCTTGTAGATCCACGAATGTTGGTACGAGCATGTTATCGAGAAGACTGCGATCGATTGCGATCGATTGCGACGTATCGTAGCTCTTATATCGTGTCAGAGGTGCATCTTAGGTGATTTTGCGCACAACGTTGGTCAATGAATTATACTGAATCACGCGATCGTGATGAGACAATAGGCTGTTGTATTCGCGAGTACATCCTCTTTATATTCAAATCGCACGTCCACGGTGCCACTTTTGACTGATTCGTTCTGTCGAGAGCAATCGATGATCACGAATGGACCATTACGTAAAAAAGTTGTAAAAAAGAGACTCGGCTCGAGATATTCGTATCCGTAGTAGCCCTTGCAGAAACGCGCGTACAAGTCGTACAGAATCGCACATCTGTTTCGATCAAAATCCAGATTCAAGTCAGCGTACGGATAACATTCCGAATTCAGGTAAAGTTTTGCATTAGTAATTTGCAGTCGTAGAATCGACTTAAATACTCGGACATGACGTTTTTTCGACCTGTTTGCATAGCGAAAAGAACGTAGCGCGGCTTCTCGAGCTGAGTAGTCGCCTAGATGGCCCACGAATGCTTGGTTGTGATTTGCAAGAGCGGAAATTCGTACAGATCCCACGAGCGAAAAGCCATGCTCAGATATCGTCCGATCTCCAAAGCGCGCAGCATCGACAACTTATTTCTCTCTCTCAATAACACGGGCGACATTCGCCACTGTACTTTGAATAATTTGAGCGTTGGCTCTATCGCCGGATCTCCCGTAAGACAATTGTTGTCGTTGCGCCCTCGTATTAAAATCAACTCGTGACGAGCGTTGATCACCAGGTTTGTAATCTTCGCAAAATCCTAGCAATACATAGAGCGTTACACAGAAATTAAAGTATCCAATAATAGTCTGCGCATCCCAGCCGGCATTCCGTAGAATCACGCTTCTGTCGGATGACACTCTTACATAGTTTTTGAGCGTGCTAGTTATGCCCATATTTCTGTTACGGTCAATCTCCACACCATTGAGTTCATATCGAATGTCATCGAATATGAACGCAACGTAATTATTCCCCAATGCCACATAAGCACTCTGGATCACTTTGTTCTTCGCCAGTTTTCCCTCCACATATAGAAAGCTTTCGTACGGCAGTGTGTACAGACCCTGTTGCTGTATGGGTATTCTTATTTCGTCGCTATACCCAAACGTTGTGTTGGCGAACGGGCTGTATGTGTGAGTCTCAATCTTGACGATGCGATCGTCGACTCGTCTTTAATGTTTAAGATATCAAATGTTGCGCACCGCGAATCCCAAAGACTTTAAAAATGTAACGTTCGACGCGCTGAGATTCTTCTTTTTTCTGATGCAGTTGGATGAGCGAGTGTTGCCGAGCTGGTGTCACCGACCTTATAAAGAATGCGTTATCTCTCTGCGTACGCTCTATTCCGTTCAGCACGAGCATCTCACGCTCACGTTATTACTGTCGCCGTCGTACGTGCAATCTAACGGTGATCTTATCTGCTAAAAAATCGAGCAATCGTCCGTTCTGATCGATGCGTAACGTTAGATTCGTAATGCTCCGTGCGATGATCAGCAGGTAAATGATTTGCGTTGGCCTCTCCGATATCTTATATCCTGGCGGCACGCTCGGCGAAAATTCATGTATCGTGTGCGCGCTTTTGCCGTTGCTGTATGCATCCGCGGTCACGTTACACTCTACGCGGATAACATTTACATTCATTATGTTGATCGACACGTCCGATTCATGTCACCTTCGCGGCTGCAATATACGCTTCGACAAGAATCCGAGCAGCGATCCAATGCTGTTGGACTTGTCAAAGTTTATTCTGTACGCACATCTAATCTCACATCTCATCATGTTGTAGTTTGCGCGGAGCGTAATCGGGTATTCTCCGTCATCATTATCATCATCAGTGTCATTGTTATTGTCACTACCCACTACATCAACGGTTTCAAATGCGTCGCGGTGCGGACGTTTTCGTAAAATCGCGCATTTCAGAAATTCATTTATGTCTCGCACTTCGTACGAACCCTCGAGAATTGTAATTTCCGCGTCGTCTTTGGTAAAATAAAATTTGTTGTTCGATTCGTTCACGTTCGGTATCGTGTGATAAGTCTCAAAAATCGCCAAACGAGCTCGTAATCTCCGTCACTCAAATCTATGGCGGAGAAGTAATTCGCCGCGATGACGGTGCTCTTTCCGCTCAGCGTAAGCATCAACATGACGGAAAAAAGCGTTCGACTAATACTAAGATTTCACAGCACCTCGTCGATCTTTTTAAATGCATGCGCGTCTACCATTTGTAGAAACTGCAGAACACATCTCCGTTTCTGTCCGCAGAAACTCTGATCGTACGTCTGATAGGACTCTATCGTCGTAGCACTGTTCTCGAAATATCGCACCAGTTCCTTAGGCAGTCGAAGATTACCGAAACTGTCAACATACATTACGCGATTCCTCTTCGCGTATGCTACTCAGTGAGTACCAGGTCCCATCGCATCGTTCAGATTCACGATACCGTTTCGGCGCACGCCGCTCATCGGTAACGTGTTACGAATGAAAACGCCTCTAAAGTATGATACACGCATACGTCTCGCGAATTCGTTCAATTGTACATTGGTAGTTGCGCCAGATGGCATTTTTATCGTCTTTTTGATATTTTTTTTTTCTTTGCAGCTACGCCCTGTCCACGTTTGTATGGACCGAGATATAGTCCGTAATTGTACGTAGCGAGATACAGTCCGTGACCCTGTTCCATCGCGCGATCATGACGTTGTAGCTCTTCGAGCTGACGTCGCGCGGCTCTGTTATCGTTTACCGCTTTCGCTACGCTGGCCGCTCCACCAATCAAGGACCCGAGTGCGCCCAACATTAATAAAAACGATAACGCACCACCGTCGGAAGTATCCTCTTTTTCGTCGTTTTTTTCTTCGTCGCCTTCTTCTTCGGTTTCATGCCCATGCTGATTTTGGTCTTGGCTTTCATTGCTGTCCAGACTGCAGCTGCGGCAGCTCTCTCGCTCAGAGCCGAATCTCTCGCAACGACGCACTAGTCGTCCTAGCACTTTATCGATGAGTACCTTATCCGCCGTATGTCTATGTGAGATCGTTGCTCCGAGAATACGCAATGTCGTGTTCTTGGATTTATGCCCGTGTTATCTCTGGCTAATCGCTTCGCAAGCCGAGTGCCCGGATGGCAAAATTGATAGCCTGGAATATGTAACTCGCGTTTATCGATTTAGCAGACCACCGCGCAACGCCGACATTCGCTACAATCCTTTATCTTCGGTGTGAGGCCGTCGATATGCGTCCGCTGCCATGGCTGATTGTAGTTGTTCATCGCAGCGACGATAAGTTCGAACCTCCGAATCTGCCTTCACGTGTTCCGAAAGCTTGTCCCAGATGTGTTCGATGTATTCACCGTACAGTACAATTCCGTGTAAGAGTACAACCTTCAGTATATATTGCAATTGCTCAGCGCTCAAGTCTCGAATATCGGAAAGATGACACAGCGCGAGATACATTTTGCTACTGCGCGATTCGCGGATTCGCGCGCCTTTAAATAAATAATCGTTCGAGAGTGCGTAGTCTTTAGTGTGAGCATGAAATTCGTGCTGCAACCGCTGACGATACGTGTCACAAACTGTGACGTGAAATCACAAATAATGGGAGGCAGTGCGGAGAAGCGCAAGCAACGAGCTGGTGGATCATCTACGATTGCTCGACGCTTCGCACCGAACGACAACGCTCACGACAACGAGATGTTGTCGATTATGGAGGAACTTCGCGAAGCCGGTCTTATTATAAATTAAATCGCGTATCGACGAAACGAGTCAGTCGAATGGCGTCAGCGAGACAAAAATACTTTTGTCCTTTGTGACGCTTCGAATCATGAAAAAGAGCGAAAAAAGAAAAATTAGCTCCGAGAGACGTCGACTCGTCGAGGAACTGCATGCTCCGGCGAAAAGAAATTTTCCACGAAGACGTATAGTTCGAGGATACGACGATATATGGCTGATATCGTTGAGATGCGTCCGTATTCGAGCTTCAACAGTGGCCATCACTACATACTCACCCTCATCAATGTATTGAGCAAGTACACGTGGGCCATACTGCTCAAGAACAAAGGTGGAAGCGAGACGGCTGATGCTATTGTTGAGATAATTCGAGCAAGTGGAAGAGGTTCAAAAAATTTACAAACGGATATGGGGAAGAAGTTTTACAACGCCGTGTGCAGAAAATCTTGAAAAAACACAACGTTAGTCACTATTCCACGTATTCGACGTTGAAAGCGTCGGTAGTCGAGTGGTTCAATCGTACGCTCAAAAGCGACATGTGGAAGATGTTTACACTCAACGGCAATTACAAGTGGATCGACGAGCTGCCGCGTCTTGTATCAGATTACAACGAGCGCAAGCATCGCATTATCAGCATGCGACCCGCCAACGTAATTCCCGCGATCGCCGAAAGATTCTTGGACACGGTGTACAGCGTGATAAAAATTGATGTTCCAGCAAAATTCAAAGTGAGCGATTCGGTACGCGTAAGCAAGTTCAAGACGATTTTTGAGGGTTACACGCCAAATTGAACCACCGAGGTGTTTACGATCGTTAAAGTGCAGCGTACCAATCCCGTAATCTATCTACTCGAGGACTATCGCGGAAAATCCGTCGCTGGTGCGTATTACGGGCACGAGTTGCATCGCGCTATTCATCCGGACGTGTATCTCGTGGAGAAAGTACTGCGTAGGAAAGGAGACAAGGTGTACGTCAAGTGGCTGGGATGGATCGCACAATTCATGGATACACAAAAACAATGTTATTTGATAAAATTTTTCGTGTATTTTTTTCTACATATAAAAATATATCAATATAAGTATATAAACGTATTTTTTTTTATTACTCCCCTGATGATTCATCATCATCTTCGTTTTGGAATTATACAAAATGTATAATTATTTGTAACAATTTATGTATGGAGCAGAATACATACATATGTAGTAATACATAACAGTAATACTTATATACTTATGTATTATAAAAAAAAAACATACGTAAAGTGTAAATCAAAAGAATAGACATAATAATACGCATAAATGATAAAAACATGATACACATAAAGTAAGAAAAGTAAATTAGAATACTAGTATATAATACGTATATAAATGAAAAAACATGCGACATGTATCATATATTATATTAGGTGCGCAACTAAGTTCTCGCTGTTATTTTGATGAAAATGCAACTTTATTGTGAAAAAATGGCTTGGAAATGGCTTGGCGAGTAACTCCTAATACTGAAGCAAGCTCTTCTTGCGTTTGGCACGGATCCTCATCGAGCAATGCCTCCAATTCAGCGTCTTCGAAGGTTTTTGGCCTTCCTTCACGCGGACGGTCAACATCGAAATCACCGTTTGAAGCGACGGAACCAATCTCGGCACGTTGTTTCATTTAGAGCAGCACCTCCGTAAACTTTTTGGAGCTCTCTATGCGCTTCAGCCGCCGTTTTCTTCGAATGAAAGAAGAAAATCAATACTTCCCGCATATGACGATTATTTGGCACAAAATCAGACATTTTCACACAACCAAAAGAATATGACGTAAAAACAAAATCACTAATGTTTCAAAGCGGTTTGTTTACCATATGTCTAAGCTTGGTTCATGACGTTTAGGTTATGTCAGAATCGATCAGCTTACTGCTGGAGCCATCTGTTGACAAATAGCGGGAACTTAGTTGCGCACCTAATACAATAATCGTAATACATAAAAAATAGTAATAATACTTATATAAATGTAAAAAAGAAGTATAAATTACAATAGTAATACATAATAGCAATATATACTACATATAATATATATAATACATATATTGTATTACAAAGGTATCCGCCAATGCCCCCATAACATCTCCGTTGAGTCTGGTATGACGTATCGTTTGTCGTCGTATGGACTCAGAGCAATTTTCGATTCGGATATCGTGTACGGACCTCATGTAATTTAGATCGTATACACGATTGATAGCGAGTCATTTCAATCTCTTCGTTCAAACACCGCGTGTAATCGTCGAACGTTATCGTTCGCGCTACGACGTTATTCTTTACGTCTATCGCCTTTTTAATGTCCTTCTTGCCATCCACTCTCACGTGTACATCTTCACTCTAAGTCCAATAAATTCAGTCATTAATACACCGTTGTTGTCATCCTTCATCAGGCCGAATACTTTTTTTGTTCGCGAGAGGTATACCGTACACGTTGTCTGCCAGATAATCGCTCGTGTCGAATCTAGCAATATCGCGTTTCATAATCTCATAAACATTATCGCATTCTATATAATAAATGAGACTATCCGTGTCAGTGTACATGATCCTGCATTTGTCGTGATACATCGGTGACATGTACTCGTGAGTCGATTGCGAGCTATTGGCTTTAGTTTTTTAATACGTATAAAAAAAACGATGTAATAATATGTGAATAAAAAAATTTTTTTTTGTTTATATCATTATGTATGTATTTTCTTTACTTTCCATCCGTCCATCCATCCATCCATCCATTCATCCTATATTTCGACATGCTATAGTGACTATAACTTTTTGTGACGCCACTTATGATCTAAAGTGTTTTATATACAACTGCCCACCTCATCGACAATCTCGATGAAGCTGTGGAGGAAGAAGAAATGGAAATGGAAACGGAAGAGGAAGTGGAAGAGGAAGAAGAAAAAACTGAAGAAGAAAGCGTCTCCTCCTCTTTCTCAGAGGAGATTCAGAATAATATCATAGTTGATCTCACTCAATTACATGTAGATCAATTAGAACTGTTCCATCGCCTCGAGATTGCCGATAAGGTGGACGATCTCAAGCATGTGCGCATTAATAGAATTGCGTTCAACCACCTCATTGACAATCTCGATGAGGCTGTGAAGGAAGACGAATAAGAATTCAGCGAAAGATGAAGAGGAGGAGGCGGTGAAGGAAGAAGAAGAGGAAGAGGAATAAGAATTCAGCAGAGGATGAGGAAGAGGAGGAGGACGGAGAGAAAGAGGGTGTGGAGAAGGTAAGAATATTTTTTTTTATTATATATTTTTTTCTTTCTATTTTTTTTAATATTTCTTGTTTGCGTTATAATACTGCCACGGATTTAGGGAGTGGACTCCGCGGTGGCTGTCTGAAACGTATTTTTTGAGATAGACGCAGGGTCTGCGGTGGCGGCCTGAAACGCACTTTAGAATGGATGC